GTTTCATGAAGCGTTCTTCGATATCTCTGTAATCAGTTTTCTTTATTCGCTCTCTGAAAGTAGAATGCTCTGGGCTTATGTATGTCCGACAGCAGAAGTTTAGTTAACCCAACCTGCTACTTTCTGAAGATATCTGATTGAATGTACTGTCGAGCTCCATCAGTCCAGTATGTCACCCGATAGACTGTAACTGTTTGTTTACCCACGGATTAAAGACTACCAAGATCAATAGCTAACTAACTTCCTGTATGCCAAGCTATCATGCCGCATTGGGTGTTTAGGTCTTAGCGATTATTTCTTTTACACGTTTCTCGAACCCATTTGCATGCATGCAATAGTGACACAGTAAGGTCGAAACAAGTGATCATCTCCTAGCTGGCTATGATTCCCTTAAACTTCGGGAAAACTTGTGTTCATGATAACTTGCAATTATCAAGCAACAAAATCAGTCACTTCATTGAATGAACCGGAGAAAGGTGAATCCAGTGCAAAAGTTAACCAAGCGCACACCATTTAGTGGTGAGGAGAAACCGGTCGCCTGATTCAAAGGAGAGGACAAAATCCATACGCATAAGCATGGCAGTACTGAGCACACCCGCTCCGAAGCCGTCGTACATGGTGAGGTGGCATCGGTTTCTCGATTAGCCTGTCACGTTGAACTATGCCAATGGATGATGACGTACCATGGATAATGCCATATGCGATTTACGACCAGCAGCGGGCGCTGAGAGCACTGTACCTGGTGTGAACCTAAGGCAATAAGACTGGAGGGTGAATAGGGTCAACTTCCATAGCGACCGAACTTTTCAACCGATTGTCCACAACTGTCAACTCAGTTTGAAACCTAAGTTACAAATGAAGAACAGCTTGGTAGTTAGCATTACTTATAAGATGCACATGCAATTGGCTAGCTACAGTCGGTCAGACATCGGCGGCGGTCACTTCCAGCACTCGTGCAGGCTCAAACCTACGGAAGACCTAGTCTCTTACCAATGGTTATATGCAGTTATATGGAGGTAACACGGATGCTGTAAAATAGAATTAAGTACATTCAAATGCCGGTTAATGCAACACCGTAATCTATATTCAAAATAAAGTTAGGTTACAGAGGAGAACCAAAGAGATGTAATCCAAACCGGGTTTAAAATAGCGAAAGACATTATTCTCCGGCAGATAGGAGGAGTTGCCTATCCCGCACTTCGCCATGCATAGATGGGTTCATTACAGTGCAGTAACTGACAGGTGGATAATCATCTCATTTGGTTCACCAAGAATCTGAGTCGTGAAACATAACTTTTCGGACAGACGTATTTGTCTGTCTACCAGATGCTAACCTCGGATCAAATTCATTTGCCATTTTCTTGTGGAATAATTCGAATTTTCCGAACGACACTACTGTCTGGAAACCCTGTATGAGCCAGCATTTGTGATGACGGATAGCTGTTAAACAGAGACAGAACTGTTTAGCGAGATTTTATTCAAATACCACCCAGTCTTGAATATCCGTCAGTATGAATGACTAGGTTTTACGACTGATCGTTTAGAGGAAAAGTTCCCATCACTATGAATCGAGCTGGTGGTCTTGTTGTCACGGTTTAGAATCGAATCGTTCAGCGGTGGCACCCTTTCGGTGCCTAACTGCCATGCCACCCGAAGTTTGCACGAGGGCTGGGATACTGCCAGGTTGCCCAAGCCTAGACAGGGGAAGTCGAGAGACAGAGGTTGGGTTCGAACCACGGACATTCCGGTCAATAAATTCGCGCTCTAACTGCTTCGGCCAACTCGCTTGAATCCCGTCTTCTCCGATAACCACCTTCTATCGTACCGAATCGGCTAAGCTAAAACCGCGGTCCACAAACTAATTGGCCCCACATTTGGCATCAATGTCCAAATCCAACGAGGAGTGAATTTCGAGGTTTCATCACTCCATTTAACAAGGTGGTACCTGATGTTATCAGGAAAGTACTGAGTATGGGTAACACTAGAACAGTTAACTAGAATAGTGGAAATTAACACTCACGGCTGGTGGAATTGGAGGATTATCCCAAAGTGACTGTGTGAACAAACGGAGTCGTAGTGAGTATTTGAAGGTATAAGCGGAGCATAAATATACCACTATTAAGTTCAGGTGAATATCAGGTGACTGTTAGGAGGTCGAAATTGGCGGGGTATGCATATAACAGACCTGGAAGATATTGTTTTGAGGCACAGACTGGGTTAGACATTACAGCGACTGGTAGCTGGAACGATGGAAATCTCCAGTAATTTCAATGCGAACGGAATAGAGAACCAGAACTACTAACCACGCGGGGAGTTTTTAGATCATTGATCAGCACATTGGGAGTGGTTATCAGGAAAGACGGGATTCTAGTAAAAGTCGCTTGGGTTGGAAGCGCAATGTTTCCACTCCCAGCCGACATTCACCACTGATTTTGTCTGGCATTCGAGGTTTCGTCGACTGTTTCCCCACTTGCCTTCAGACTCAATTGCTCAATCTAATTGAGTGGCTTAATAACACTAGTGTCAAAAGTGGAAATTCCTTTAGCACAAAATCTACTGGCTTTTTATTCAGAACTCCTGAAGTGATGTTCTTCTCATCTTCGTTTCACAGTCATGTATTGGAGTTATCCACATATTCACTTTTTTGAATGTATCATTCATACAAGTCGAATATAAGAGAGACCATGATTCCCGCATGATATAAATCTTACCTTTTCTTATTTCGTGCATCAAAGCCAACGCACATGACCTTTCTCAAGTAGGTTACACCAATCAGTACGTTCATTGATGGGTTATCAGAAGGTCTACGTAAATTTGATTGCACTCTTTTAGATCAGCTGTTTTAAAGAGTGCTTCTTTGATAGGATCAGTTCATTCATACGAAAAAATCCTCAACTGTTCTATTGAACCTGAGTGCGGAACAATTAGAAATTACGATAAAAATGGGGACATTTGGTCCAAATAGGCCAAATGAGTGGCTAGATTGGCCGGCAGGGATACACTCTAGGATCGTCTTCTTCTGTGGGTAAAACAGGGTAATGACGCAACCGATTCAATGTGTCAGAATTTTAGAGTCCATCATGGAGATAGAGTCCAATGAAATCAGAGTAAATGGCTCGCACAACACCGTTACTGAATGGACAGCTGTCTTGATACTGACGCATACAGTATGTGAAGAAGTTACAAATTCCAGAATAATCTAACCCGAGATAAATTCATCTCCAAGAACGTTTCCTCCAGTAATTTTAGATTACAATAAGTTTGGTATACCAGACTCTATCAATGAAACTGATGTTTTTAAACACGGATACGGCGGGCATTTGGTAACTGACAGATTCTTTCCAAGAACGTTGAATTCAGTCAATCCCTTCAATTGTGGTGCATCTAAAATGCATCGTCATAAGCTGGTACATGATTTAATTTCTTACGTTGAAGATTCTTTTCTCGCTGGTTTCTACAGTTATCTAACCCAACAGATCTATCTGATAACTTTTCATACCTATCTGTATCCGCTATCTCGGGAAGTAATCACCAGAACACTCTATCCTGCCTTACTGGAAACCAATGTCTTTTCTTCCCGTTTAATTCTTAAGTAATCTTAATTTTGACTTGTTGGATGTCAAATATGGAACATAATTACCAGTTCCCAATCGCATTTAGCAATGAGATCACGTAGGGCCCGTTGGCACAGTTCAAAGGCGTATTTATCGAGTTTCTTGATATACGGTCTTGACTCACTATATTTCAGGCAGCAGTGTCCAGCATGACAGTCAGGCTTGGTAACACACTTTGGTGCATTCTACGAAGCTGTTATGCAGTCATATCAAGCGTTTATTCTGTGGGCTTGTTATTTCACCGTATCAGTTTCCTAAATTAAGTCCAATTAGGTACCATCCTGAGAAGTTGCACAACTATCTGGGTTCGAGCCTTACTACAACTACCGTTAACTAAAGTAATGAGTTTGAATCAGATCTTTGATGAATGAGTGATTAGAAGTGTTAGCTATAGTTTCAATACCGGCTGTCATGTACTGGAGTGATTTATGTGCGTTTGTATAGAGACTATATACCTACTCAGACATTCAGTTCATATTTCCACCCATCTTGTGGTAATGACAGTCTTAACTGTTTCCGATAAATTTAATAAACACTTCTTACGGGCATTCGTCAGTATTATAAATCGATTTATGAAACCACATTCTACTACACTAGCCTTGTCCACATCTACAGAAACAGCACCCGTTGAAGACTTTGTTCAGTGGTCGTGGAGAATTGGAGGGTTGCGTATCTGTTCCCTAACTGCATTTGCTTCAGCATATTGTTAATCGTAGCTTACAGAATGCACCTGGGCTGTGAAACTGTACAAACCCAGCAGCCAAAGAAATGAATGGAGAAGTTTACGATTTATGAGGGTAGTCTGGACTCTTTTGAGGTGCCATCATTTTTTAGCTCGACGTTGGGATTGTTATTCGTTCTTGCCGTCCAGGTCTGGAACATTCTAGAAGCAACTGATCCGTTGGCTCGACCTTTTTTACTTCAGATCGTTCAGAATTGCTATGTCGCTCCTAAAACTTTGGGTTTAATATACCTCTTAATATGTGACGAGGCTCGTGTTTTCTCCTGTCCCGATGAAAATAGCTTCTCCGGGTAGAAATTAGCGAACTATCCAAACATCTTTTGATTTGTCTCTCAAAGGAAATAAATCCCACGGAAACCTCGTGGGCGGTGCTTACTGTGGACTACTCTGTGGAATGTCTTTATTAACTGGTCGCTCTATTGTGTGTTCAGATGCTTGTGTACACTGTACGACCACAGTTTATTTTATTCCGTGTCTAAAACGGTGAGTATGACGTGTCTGATTCTGGAAACAAAATTTAAGAATCTATCACAACTCTTTTGAGGCGACTTACAAGGATAGTAGAAGTGAGATATGTTCATATTACCTTATTGAATGGCCAATGAGTTGGACACGGTGCTTCCAAATTTGTCCGTTACAGAAAGCTCAGTAATGAAGAAATTGCAGCAGACACGCGCAGCAAGCAACACATCTTGGCTTTTATGGATGTCTTATCCAAGGCCATTGGTGCTCTGGATGGCGGCCGTGAAGATTTTTGTGAAAAGCTGATGGTATTGGGAGCCAGGCATGCTGCAATACCGGGGATGAAGTTGGAATATTTCAAGGTGAGTTGTACGGTGCGCTATCTGTCCAATGTTGTACGTATCAACTACCCGTTGTGCCTCAACTGAAATCAATATATCAACCAATCCATCTTCCGGATCAATACTGGGTTTTGCCATGAATATACTACGATTACTTATACGACTCTTGTTTGGTTTGCTGAGTCAATCCGGATGAAAATCATTTTGTCATTGTTTCAATATATTTAAATGATAAAATTTCCCTAAGTTAGCTATAGGAATCTTCTGATTTTAGCCACCATGGAACTACAAGTTAAAGGTTGCCCCACAAATGTTACTTATCATCCTTATCTACGCTGATGAATCTCGTCTTGTCTTGGTCCTAGAACGCGATAGCTGGTGCGGTAGTCTCTCGGATTTTGGTACAAATCTTTGAAGCGGTTATCCATTAGAAATTTATAGACAGTTATTATTTCATACACACGAATTTATTTTTTGATGGAAAAATCAGCTGAATACGGCTAAATCTCTTGTTTCCAATGGTTGACGGAAACTTGGGGACCGCACCTATCTGATGAGCCCTAAGAAAAGCAAAGATAGATATGGCTATAGAGGAGTTTTCAGCAGCCTAATGAGTAGTGTGTTACATCTAGAGAACAGTTACTATTTCTTGTTCAATAAGGTATTTAAATTTTTACCTGGCTTGAGAGAAATTATTTCAAAAAGACAATCTCTAGAAAATAACGAAACCAAAGAAACTGGATGAGACCATTTTCTTTGCTTGATGAACTGCCGCATTTGCCGGTCGACGAATTAATCTAATGTCACGTTCATGAACAAATGAATAATGTTAACCGATAGTTTCGGTCTCAGAAGTTCCGCATCAACTTTTCAACATTTGAATTTTCTGTGTGACGGCTTATGGACATTTAAGTAGATATGGATACATAAATATGGTAGAAGTTACACTTCTATCACATGTGAAAATAACTTTATACTGTTAAACTGATATAAGTTTCCCTTGATGAATAACCATTTTTACGTTCCAAGTTGCTATGGGAATAAATTCCGAATGTTTTGCGTTTTATTCTGCTTCCTTCAGGAAGCGTGACTAGTTGATTTTCGTGAATGATTTGGGAAGAAAAACGGAGTACGAATGCTAGCGTGTGCATCAGAGTTTGGCTACTAACAGTTGTATTGGATCTCCCGCCAGCATGGGAATGTGCACCTGATCAGTTCCTGAATAAAAGTCTTCCCAAACTTCGCCCTATTTCACCACTCTTGCTCTCTTTCATCGGCCCAGGACGGAAACGAAACAATGGAATGGGCGACCATATTCTTTGACTCGGCTACACACCATCCACTTTAAAAAATGGTCTGCGTGTGCATATTTTTTAACAGCCGTGCTATTAATGTTTTCTGCACTACTCGCAACGTATTCAGAACCTGAGGTAGCTAGCGGGCTTGGACCGGAGCATCTGATTTCCGGGAAAGTAGAAACTGATGGAGAAAACTGTGGGAAATCTTCATTCGAGAATAACATGGACTGTTCAAGCTTTGGATAAAGCCGAAAGCTTCCTGAATTTTTAAGCAGAGTTTCTATTTAGTCTTGGCTACTTTACGTCAGGTAAGAAAGACAAAACTAACGCAGTTCATTGGTTGTCCTAGACAAGCCTTATGCGTGAAACGTCCAACGTTGGTTCCGATAAACGTGGAATTAGCCGATTCTGAAAGAATATGGATACACAGATTACCACTAAGGTTACTGGAAACTCTTTGACGGACTGCTGCCAGTTTAACCTTTCTGGAAGCCCCAAGAAGGGCAAAACTGGTCGCCCGCTATTGATAAGTTATCAGCAACCTTATCGGTAGTTTATACGATGCGTCTATACGATGCATTGTGATGTCCGAATATCGCACAAACTGGGAAGTGAGGCTACATGGTGCAGCACATTCAGTTCGTAAATGAGAGCTTCCTCTGAGTCTCCCGTGAAAACCACAATGTATATAAATGAATGTATTTGTCGAAGAGGAGTGCGTTATTTCTGCTGATGATATGCGGCTCCTCTGTTAGATTATCCGTCAATGTAAGCCTAATAAGTCTAGTGGTGTCTGAGCTCTCATGCCTCCCGCGGCTGAATGGTAATTATGTACAGAAAACATGCTAAGTTTGAATGGTCTAATTTTCATCAGTTTTTTTCGGTTTTTGATGCTGCTTACTTATTGGGCTTGAATCAACCTGGCTCTCACAGAGTAGATTCGACTGTTGCATGAGTAATATAAATGTTCACTTCTGCTGTAGACAGACGGTGTAACCGAATTCCCTTTGATCCTGACGGAAATTCTTCGCGTAACACCAGGTTCCTCTGCTTGTGACAAAGATTCAAGCCTTGATGGTCTTAATAGTCAGGAGGCAGGGGGCATTTTTCATCATTTTCATCACCATGAAGAATATGCGTTGTTTATAGCCGCACTTGGCAAAGGACCGACGGAACGCTATTCGTGGAAACTCGATATTTAGTCGTATTTCTTCTTCTCTGGGATGAGAGGAATAATTTCTACTTTATCTAATTTTATTTCAGCCATATGGTCATTTATAAGGTCTAAGTTAATCTCCACAATGGCTTCAAACGATGATCCAATCCGGTCTAGTTATGATCGTTCCACCAGAAAGTTCGCTACTAGGCCCGTGAGCAAAGTCATCCCTATCCACTTTACGTCGTGTTTGTTACACTTCGGACTCTCCTCAGTGGTCACGTTTGGTTAGATGGGTTCAGTCACTGCGGTGAAAAACATAGACTAGTTTCCCAGACGTCACAGGATGCTTAAAGTATCCCTTAACACCGAACAGTGCAGGTAGTTGTGTACAAAGTGATCCAACTCACGGATGAGGGCCAATTTACAAGAATGTATACAGCCAGGATAGCTGAATTACACCGGTCCTGTGAGTAGTCTCCGTATAGAGGTTTGACAGTCACGCGTTACTGACGAAACAGTTTCCTGCTTTGACCTTAGTTACTGTGTGAGCCTTTGTTTCTTTTAAACATTTACGGGTTAGTGTCAAGCATTACTCATAATCTTCTTTCATTTGTAATGTATGCTCTAATAAAATTTCTCCATCAGTATTCATAAGGCATTCGTCTTATTAACCTAGGCGTTTATGGTTCAATTTACACAAGCAATGTGCTCGAATCCTGTGGTCCTACTAAGGCTGATATAATGCCGCTTCCTGTTTGATGTTTGGTGTTATAAACTTCTGTTTCATTTCCATTAAGAAGCACATGTCAATATTTCAACCGGTTTTCAATTATGGTTGCATCAAAGGGTAGTGCGATGCTGCTTTTCCGGTTGGCGTTACAGCAGCATGTGTACACCCATTCAGAAATAGCGACAGCTTACGTTTTTTGAAAATGATGCCAAAAATTGAAATTTGGACTTGGGACGGCGCACAAAACGCGGCGGCATAGAACAAAGACAAGCAAACAGAAACAATACATGAGGTAGTTTTTGAAGGCATGGGAAAGTTTTCCGAAATACGGGCTATGCATGAATGCGTTCTGTTTTGGATACCGAAGTTAAGCGAGTGGAAGGTAGAAAGGTTTGAAAAAAGGTCAGCGTACAGTGCTCGATTTTGTGAAACCGCTCGCAAACGTGAGAATTCTAGTGAAGGCTTTAGTAGACTAGAAAGCCTCTGCTGAGAAATCAGGAGATCGTATGGTCGATGCTTATTGGAGTCTTAAAAACCTGGCAGCCATAAAGTTAGCATTCAAACAGATACAATGATGAAATATGTGACGTTTCTGGTTTCCAGCGTAGCACCGATTTTCGCAAAAGATGCCACCGGGCAGGGGAAATCGCTTTTGGTAGTTAGATTTTTTGACAAGTTTAATAGGAAGTCGCATTGGCCTACACATTTTGCTCTTGTTCTTCTGCGTTACTCTGCTACGTTGTTCTTGATTCTTACAGGTGTTCAAACAAGCCATTCTCATGACGTGGGAAGCCCTGATGTATGAAGAGTTTACCGAGGATGTTCGCCGTGCATGGGCTCACTTGATGGATTATATAATCGGAATTCTGAGCGAAGGGTGCCTTGTATTCGAAGAAGAGGAAGAAAAGATGTTGCTGGATGCTGGCTCTGAAATACAACATCGAGCGTCCGACAGTCAGCTGGGCGCATATCCGTCCACACGCAGGCGAAGTGGACGGCCCAGTGTGATCAGTATGACACCTGAAGAACTTTCGCACTTTTATTCTGTGTGTAAATAAACCCGGCATGATAGTTTTTCTCGTCTAATGTATCTGTTCCCTAATTTAAAAACGTTCTGTGTATATACAGATTAACCACATATCGAATGGCTGTCGCACTTCGATGAGCAGGTCACGTGACAGGTCACGGGAGGACATCGAGAACACCGACTGCCGAACAGATCGAATCTGAAGTGTGGATCACTTCTGCTTGTCGTTTTCATGTGTTTCCGAAAATATTGCTTATTTATCTACCGTTGAAAATCCATAGATTTATTTGCTCTGATTCTTCTTCCACTGAAAATTGTAACAAAACGAACAATCTTCAGGCACATTAGGCAAAGCCGGCTCCTCGAAAAACAGGATGGAATAAGTTGGTTTTCTAAAAACAATCCTCCTTATTATATAAAAGTAGGTTGGAAATTCAGTTTTCTCTTCACTTACCATAACAGAAAGGTTAAACACGGTGAGACGCGATCGTAAAAACAATGTTATCACTCAGGGTAACTATCACCCGAAATGTATGTATGGCCTGAATCAGAAAACTTCTCAATTTAGAACGGAAAACATTCGTTTTTTTAGAAAAGATAAATATGTTTGAAGTACCCAACTAAAAATATCTCACAAAGATAGATTAGCTTTATCGACACAATTCTTTCTGGTCGCGGTGTGACGTTGAACCAGTGAACCATCAGTCACTATGTGTTGGAATATAGCTTCACACCATCTCTTTTAGGACATTGCGTTTCAGATAGGTAGTGGCAGTCAAGTAATTCGTTTTCAGAAATCTTCAATTGATTGACACGGTGTTCTTCGTGAACCAGGCGGCTACGTGAGCGAATGTTCAAAAGAGACCATAATTATTTTTGGATACAAATTAATTTTAGACGCGTTTATTTAGGACACATCAGCGGAAAGACCGAGTACTTGTGAAGAACAAATTCTTATAGGCGGATATCACGTAGATGATATCCATACCATTTGATACACACAGTTCTGTCAGTTTCATTTGGTTAATCCCTTCGGACAACTTTAATTTTTCCCCATTAATCTCAGTTACCAGGTGAATATTCAGATCTAAGTCACGTAAATTCAACAGGTATATGCATGTACGTGAATAGATGAAGCATTTGAATCGGATCTGCCCGTTAGCAATGATCAAAGCGCCAGAAGTTTGCGCAAAAGACGAAGGCCAGAGATGGTCTACGCTAAGCCGAATTTGGTGCTGCACACAAGCCCTGATCACCCGTGAGGATCAGGGGAATAAGATCAGCAGGCGAAAGTGCAGAGATTTGGTTGAGCCGTCATCTGATTTGAAATTGATAGCATAACAATGGGACCGACACGAATCGCTTGTTTACCATTGAGGTACCATCAATCGGTTCCTTCAAGTTCCAGCGTAATAAAGCGGCTCATCCAGCATCGCCTGATTCGAGCCCTATTGGGCACCGTCCGTTAACACGCCTTGAAGGGTGGAACAGTAACCAGATGGTGTTCCACCAACCATTAGAACAATGATTCTCTTGTCCTTAGGATCAGAAAATGAAAAAAAATGATCTCAGGGTAGTTTAGTTTAGCAGCTGGTGACCAATAATTCCCGGTACGTTTGTACGAAAGTTGCGCATTCCATACAACCGAAAATGCGGAACACTGAGCCTCTTCCGAATGTTTCGTTAGTTTTGATCCGCTGAAACCCATCTCAGAGAGTCTCACACGTGCCGAGATAACCATTTTCCAGTCGATTCTGTCAAGTGGTAAGTCCTCCTATGGTTTATCAAATTACAGGTTTTTAAGCTCACCTGAAGACAGTCCTAATATGGTCCGCGATTTCGAAGACCATTCCGCAGCTGTTTTGGGATGCTGTTTTCGGCCATGTATTTCAAGGGCCTAACCCTCTGAGGCAGTTTCGCATTAGACTTCAATCAGCTGCAGTTGTTTTCTCTTCAAAGGATGCCGGTGTCCAAAATTTGGTCGTTCAGTTTGAACCGAATGATTTGGCTTGGAGAGTTCAAATTAACTTGATCAGGAAATCGAAAATTTCGTCTCTAGCGTTAAATTCTCGCTTCCGTATGGTAATGAGGACAGCCCAACAGCACAGTATGCTGTCATCGTGTTGCCTACGCGTGGGTACTTTCCTAAACCAACAAAATACCCTACTGGATTTTGCAATTCGCACGTTTATTTCATTATCAAGTAACAAGTCTAGGGCTAATGGGCACCAATATATCAGAAATCGGTGCTGCATGTTATCTCACAATCATTTACCTGATTAGTTGACGTCTTATGTTGTATCCCCGATGTAGGGTGATAAGAGATTAGCGTTTTGGAAGTGTAGATACTTAGTTTAAAGCAAAGTCTCACTCAGTCATTCGCCGTGGTCAGCTGCTGTCGTTCCGCGCCAGGGTACGAAAAAAGCCCTGTTTTTCGCAGACATGTGTATACCAACAGTGAACTCACGTTTTTGACGGCACATGCCTTCACACCGGGTGATTTGAAATCCAGGCGGTAAACTTGCTTTATCTTGGGTCCAGTGATAACTTGCAATGGAGAGTTTCATTTTGAAGTACACAAATAAATTTCAAACAAGGCATTATGCAGTCACGCGTATGTAAGCTCTTTTTCCAGGGAAAAAGCAGGTAGACGAAAGGTTACTCCGTTCGCCGCCCACAAAATATCAATTCGACTGAACTGAGTTTGCTGAATCACCTCAAAAACCCAACGAAAATAGCGATAATAACAGTAAGCTTGGATTAAACCCTCTACCCGAGGTTGCTTGCAAGCCGCAACAAACAACAGCCTTGACTGATTCAAGGAAAGCCAACAGCAAACAGCTGCGGCAATGCCAGATTTTTAGTAGCTTAAGGTTTGATGAGGATGGTGGATAGAAAAGCTCCAAGAAATGAAAAAGCTTCGGTAACGGGAACGAAGCGCAATCTTTTCACACCATTATCCGATCAGCTGGTCTGAGAAGGCCGGCGGTAGGTAGAATGGTTTCAAAAGATGGGATTTCTGTTCATTCTCATAAAGGTATCCCACACGATGGGTTGGACACTTCGAAGAATGACTAAGCTGGCTTAATTTGCTTAGTCCTTGGAAGGCCTTCATGTTAGTTATTAACAATGGACGACCAGCGTGAATTTCCTTGCTTCAGCAACTGGTCTTCAGAGAAGTTGATTGACACATTTTTTTATTAACCTGACTACTGAGTTCCACTATATCTGAACTGAAGACAGAAAACCAACAGCATGGAGCACTGTTACATCCACCAGAACAGTTTCACCCCAAGATCGCTAGGAATTATTCCTTATCATATGGGAGGCCGTCCCCGTCGTTGGACCGTTTTCATAAATCAACCCTGAGGGAATGATTCGCAGCTATTGCACACCTTGGATCCATTGCGGGAACAAATTCCAACCCCCCACGACGATGTGGCGGATTCGTGTCGATACATACATGTTACGATTGTGATACGTTTTGAGTTAATCCAATGCCTTTTAAACAATCATACAATCACACATGAACAATTATATACGTGTATATCCAATCATTTGCAGTCATGATCCGTCCGTAGTGACCGACGCAAAAGTGTGCTACTCTGTCACATTACTTTGTGACAGCGAAACATGGACGCTCTACAGCAGCCGCAGTGGAATACTTGGAAGGTTTCATTCGCAATGATTGTGCGAGGTGTTTTGACTTTGTTGAACAGATCGGGCCTTATACACCAAAAAACAAGATCGATGGAAAAGAATGCATCTGAATGCAGGCATAGCTACGCTAAATAGGTCGTATAAACAGAGTGGCGGACAACCCCTTCGGTAAACAATAATATGTCGTCACTTGATTAATGAAACTCTTTTTCGAGGAAGGCCGAAATTTAGTTATTGTGACAGCCTCCAAATAAGTTTAAAAAAACTGCAATTTCTTCTCAGTCACCGAGAGAGCCTGACGCATAACAGACCTGCCTAGCTAACTGCTGTCATAGGGAGACTGGTGAGTTTTGAGGTACAACATCCTTAAGTAAGCACGTTATTCGAAAAGCTAACACTTTGTAAGCACATATGTCTTAGTAGAATCGTACTCACTGGCGCACTCACTCTAAACGAAGAAGAAAGCATCCGTTTCGAAACAAATTTCGACCGACTGTGCTGTTGAACTAGGAGCTAAGAGTACCATTGCCCGTTTAAATCCCAGTCTACCGCCTTACTACCATGTTCCACTTAAAGACCGCGGAGATGACACTTACGAGAAAATATTGTTTCGGTGACTTAATTTTTGGTACTCTACTACAAATCGAAAGCAGACTAGATAGCCCACCGTCGTTCATGAAAATACTGACAATAGCGTGGTAATCCATTTGGGCTGTGCCGATTGTTTAGCCTGAATCATTACCACGGACACACATCCAACTCATCATTCTGCAGATATGCTTCGTTAAGTCAAGGCTTTCGGTGCCGGCCGGTCCAAATGAAAGTCATAGTCACTCCTGGGTCTGGCTAACAATTTACATATATCCTCTAATGTGCTAAATCACGCTGTTCGCTAGACTGGAAAACAGTTTCCTGGTTGATCATCTATCAGTTTAACAACCATATAATGTGTGGTTAAACGGTAAGCACAACCGGAGCGATCGCGATCTGGTGGCTTTAATCAAACCATCGGCCAAACAGCTCCAACCTCATACGTTTCTTAAGACTAAATCACCTGGTTCGAACAGTGGATTGCACCCTTTCACCATTGGAATCTAACTCTGACAGTTCGCTTGCTAATGTCCACTTTTTGACTTTTGCCGGGGGTTGCAATCTGGTATGACATCGGAAAAAATTCTGTCTTCATGGAGCCCTACGCATCCAAGGCCTTCCCATACATGCAGACGACTAGATCTCGATGCCATCAACACTACACCGGTCAACCGAAAGGTGATTCGTCATATGAACTGCGCTGCCATCCAGGAATCAAACCCCCAAAGGTGGAAAGCTTCAGCATCTTCTGTGCTTGATGGGTCATAGAAGGAACTGCACAATGAACACCGCAGTCTACCTTTGGATGCCAAACACCACTGCCCCAATACACGTGGTAACCGACCAAGTTGCGCAATGTACTATCTGTCTGGAGTTTAATGGAGCCAGTTACAGGTAAGGAAGTTGAC